CGGATTAACCGTATTTACATTGAACCTCATGGGAAAATTTGATTCGGTTGGCGACCAAAATTGGTTGGCAACCACATTCGTAGGGGTCAGAACGGATTAACTTTATTTACATTGAACCTTATGGGAAAATTTGATTTGGTTCACAACCAATTCGGTTCGCGACCAGAGTCGTAGAACGAATTAAGTTCGTGAACCGAGGTACCACTGTATTCTTAATTCTCATTCTGATAGTTTGGTTTATTTATGCAGCCCAGCAGTTTCCCAAATTTAAAAGCAATATATAATTCAATCAAACTACTCTAAGGGTTCAAATGAGTTGAATTTCTGCATTTTTGACTTTGACAGCTAAGCTGAGAAATTCTCCTGCATTCATCTTAATAAAAGATAATCTGCTCTTGATCTTTTTTTTTTTTAATGGACAATATTTTAGTTAAATGTCAGCATCTTACATTTATTCAGTTGTTTGTTAGATTTATTCCCATCTTCCTTCAAAGACCTTACATAGCTTTGCTTCACTTTAGCCTCTCAATGGCAACCTTATGAGGGTTGGCCAGAGAGACAATAATTAAACCAAAGTCATCCAGTATCTTTCCATGGCTAAGAGTAGGCTTGCACTTGGGTTTTCCTATTGCTAATCCAACTTCTTAAACACTACGCCACACTGTGTAGTGTGTGTCAATATCCTGTCCTCTAATATACAAGTAGCTCTCCAGTAGTCCCATATTTTAATTAAGATATCATGAGGCTTCAGGCTGCAGGAAAGATGCATATCAGGATATAACAATAATAGGAATGATCCTTTTACCATCTCCAATAATATGTCCAAAAACATCTCCAAAAGAAATTCCCAAGAATTTCTAAGCACAGTTAGAATAAGAGAGAAAACAGATGCATCTTTTAAAAAAGAAAGCAAGCTTCTAAGAAACTGCAATGTAGATTTTGGCACAGCATTCTCTGAGCACTATTAGCCACGCAAAACGTTAGCTACATTTATTATCCCTGCTGTTCACAACTTCAACACAAGAGGGGGCACAAGCATATGTAATTTTTGTATCTTGCTCTTCGCTTTCCTCCCAAACTGTTTATTTTTATAGGTTTTTTTACATTAGTAGAGTTTTTTCATTATTGTAATTTAGCATGCAGAAAGGGCTATGACTAACATTTAAAAGAGAACCAAAGAAAATAGTGTAATGTGAGCATCATTCTTTGCAATTATTTCAGACTTTATAGTGAATCAAACTAAATGAAAGGTAACCAGGTATCAAGGTGATATCTTTGTCCCCTTTGTCATGGCCAGATAATGCCCTGGTAACTCTAAGATTCTCTTACGCTGCCCCCCTCTGCAGGGAGGTAGGATCTATCCGATTGGTCCACCCCCGGCGACTGATGGGCCTAGTGGGATCCCAAAGGGAACTGGCAGTCATTCCTGAGGTTCTGCTACCGATCCTGCCAAGGCGTTGGCCGCAGCCTGGAATAGGAAGGTGGCTGAGACTTAGATAGGATCATGGCCTTGCAACCTCTCTTGACCCATCATTCCCGTCACTCCCCGTGGTTTAGGGAGGAGTTGAGGGAACTGAAAAGGATCAAGAGATGTCTACAGTGCCACTGGAAGAAGCCAAGGGACGAATCTGATCAGACTCGAGTTACAGCTGATATTAAGGCCTATCTGGTGGCTTAAGAGCAGCAAGATGGGCAGCATATAAATTTGATCAATACATAAATAAAGGGGAGATTAAAAAAAAAAAAAAGCTTTCCTTCACTCTGTATGCCCAAGGCAATCAGGCCTTAACAGGGAGCAATTTAAATGATATTGAGTGGTAAGAAAAAAATCACTTTAATCAAAAACCAAGTATACTCATAGTAACTAGCGTTTGCAGCTAGGGAAAAAGGTGAGCAAACAGTTTGGCTGTGAACTATGTTCCAAGTCTCTTATTTAATACTATGCACAGAAAAGGAAACACTGATTTCCACATCCAGCATGAGATTTATGAAATAGACCCAGAAAGGATGCTGAAAATTGCCAGGGGTGGCAGATTCTCCCGAAATTGCCCTTCAGGCAGCACAATGAAGTGTAGTGTATAAGCTGGGGATCCCATTCAAAATGCTAATTGCCAGTCTAAGACTCACACTGGTGGATGATGTTACCTAGATGGGTAATGAAATGTCTGCAAGCAAACAGCCAAGCTCAGAGAGCACTAAGGACTCCATGTTGCCCATCTGACCCTGTACTTTTAATCACCAGGGCTGACTGTATATGAGAGGATCTTGCCCATCTTGGCCATCTGACTCTGCACTTGTCATCACTGGGGGCTGGAGGCCCACAGTGGCTCTGGCTTATTGCCCTTTGCACCATCCTACTGGGACTAGCTCCTGGACTTGGGACTGGGCTTTCTATTAACTAGCCAACTGTTTGTGGTCTCTACTGTTTTGTGACTGACAAGGTTTTCAGTGCAGCATGTCTCAGAAGCTAGGTACCAGACCAGCTGTTGAGTGCCTGAAGGCAGGAATACTCTTGCTGTGAGGGCCCTGTGCCTGTAGAGTCAGGAAGATGACCTTGACGAGATATGCAAGCTCCGTTACCAAGGTGATACGCAGTAAAACATTTTTTAATGCCCGAGAACAGCCAAATAACATTTGGGCATAATTCAATGAAGGAGGAGGAGGAGGAGGAACACAATAAGACTTACAAGTTTGATGTCAGCCCCACTGGGTAGACCAGACCAAGAAATCAACTCCTCAGGAAGGCTAAAACTAGTTGTATTGAGACTGGCTATAATGATAAAATGGACAGGCTGTGAGCTCGGTCATCTGTTTCTTAGATCCATGTCATTTCTGGGCTGTTAAAGCTACCTGGGAGATTATTTCTGTTAGGGTCCACGCAGTGGCATTGGCATCTCTGAGGGAGGAGGTGGTTTCTCTGAACTTAAAAGAGGCAGTGGTATGATGACTCCTCCAAAGGGATTGCTGGACCCAACAATCATGGACAATTTTAATCCAGTCTCCAACATTTCCTTTTCAGATCTTGGAGGAAACAAATTATCTGAACTCATTTCAGATCAGGACACAGTATGGAAATAGCATTGATCACACTTGTTAATAACATTTGGTGGAGCTGGGATGGGAGCAGCATGACCATTCTGGTGCTCTTTGATTTAAGAGGATTTTGATATTGTGGGGACTGGCTATGGGTATTGGGAGTGTTGGGCAATGGCTTATGGTAGTTCTCCTCCTTTCTTTGTGGCTGGTTGACAGGAGGGGAGAGGTTGAGCCTGCAGCCCCTCATCCATATTTGCCACAGGGCTCTACACTTTTGCCCCTTCTACACATATTCATCTAGTGTGCCAGTTACACCTGTTCCTGGATCAGGAGACTCTCCAGATGGTCACTCATGCCTTTAGTCATCTCACAAGTAGACTATTGGAATGTAATACACAGGGCTACCTATGAAGATCATTTGGAAGCTACAGCTTGTCAGCATGTGGCAGCATGGGCAGACTACAGTTGATGAGTTGCACTGGTTACCAGTCGGCTTCCAGGTAATTTCATGGTGCTGGTGACCGCCCATAGAGCTCTTGATGGCATAAGGTCTGGCTAGTTGAGGACTATCTATCTCCAACAGTTTCTGACCTTTGATTAAACAATATCAATCTTTTGGGACTAGGAAGAATGCCTTCTCTGTTGTGACAGCTATCCTCTGGAATAACATCCTCTCTGGCTCCCACCCTGATGTTGAGAAAGTTGTTGAAAATTTGGCTATTCTCCCAGACCTTGGGGTAAGATGGATGCATTAAGGACATTAAAGAAACCTCTATAGATTTTTTAAAAAATCTATTTGGTATCTGCTTAATTTCCAATGTGTATTATCTATATTATTATTATTGTTACTTGCTTCCAAAGTTGTAAGCTGCCCATACTCTTGTGGAGTTGGGCATCCTCTAAAAACACTGGCAGTGCAACTGTTCCATTTGGGGCTTTCCTTAATGCCACTGAAGACACTTCCTTACAATGAAATGGATAATAGAAGTTCCTCTTCTGGCAAAACTAAAACCTTTAGATAGTGAAAAACATTCCGTGTACAATGCAACCAAGCCATAAAGCAGTGTTTTTGTTAGAGGGTTGTTTTAGCATTTAGTATGAACCTGCCATTGTAGTTTTCTATAGTTGCTTTTTTTATTTCAATGAAATCCTAGTTTGTTTTTTGGCATGGAGCTTAAGGTACTGTACACAGAGTTCTAAAATGGTCTTCTGGCCATGCACTGACTGACCAGTTTAACTTTAATAAATTTTTCAGACTATTCTCAATACTATAAATGCATGGCCTTGTTAGAATGAAAGATACTATCTCCCACTTTGTGGAATATCCAGAACTTTAGA